TCTCTCTCTCCCCACAGAGTTCTGGTGTGTTGCTTGGTTCTTTGAGATGCATGCTCTCATGTTGACCTCAAGGGGTACGGTACAGGTTCTCTCTTCCAAATCACTGCTTCCCTGCCAACTTGCACACAAAGCTGCCGACGCCCGTGTTGACATGTTGACCCTTGACAACAGTCAAGGTTGGTTAGGAGGGGTGCTGGTGGGCGAGGCAGGGTGGGGGTGGAGGAGGGTAGAGAGGCCAGGTTACCGCAGCCCTCGCTCAGCGGCAATATGACGCATTGAGTCCCCTTTCCAGGCATGATCCATCACGATGTCCTTACAACTCTACTGTCGGCCAGAAATGCCCCTACCCCTTCAATCGAATCTCCCTCCACTCAGAGAGAAAAAAGAAAAAAAGAAAAAGGAAAAGGAGGCGGCTTTCCTCCACGGGCAGGGAGATCAGTAAGAGTGAGGCATCCCTGTCTGAATGAATGATTGCTGATCATTCCAGTCAAATGCATTGCAGAAGAAATTTCGGAATGGGCGATTGGGGGCATGTCCAGTCTTTCCTCGCCCTCGATTGGTGAGGCAGTCTGGCGCAGACAATTTTGTCCTCCTCAGTTCTGTTGCCCTGCTCTTGGAGCCAGACCAAAGGCCCTTTCCATTAGGCGGATAAGGCTATGCAGTGTCCACTTGACTACTCCTTGTTTAAAGTTTAAACCACTAGCACACCCGGCCTTGGAGGCGCTGCAGTGCGGGCCAAGCTTTCCCAAACCACCAGCGACGCACTTTTTTTCTTTTTCTGGTCGGTGCCGCCAGGGATAGATGCACTTTTTTTCTTTTTCTGGTTGGTGCTCCCAGGGACAGATGCACTTTTTTTCTTTTTCTGGTTGGTGCCGCCAGGGGGACATTTTTTTCTCTGTCTCGTTGGTGCCGCCAGCTGCGCTTGAAGCTGGAGAACTCTCAACAACTGTTTTACAGGACGAGCAGTGCGTTAGTGAAACGACAACTTGGGAGTACTGGAGCTCCACAATGACAACTTGGGAGTAGTGGAGTGTGGAGTGTGGAGTGTGGAATTTCCCCGAAGTAAGTCAGTGGACCACAACCCTTGGTTTCTTCAGAGAGATGGAATGGATGCTCATTGGTGCGTCCAAACCGTACCTCACCCCTAGAAATCCGCTGGGTGCATCAAAAGTCTCTATGATTTTTTATTTTTTTATTTTTTTTCAGACCATTTCTTGATTTATGTGTGTCATCCTTGCGGCAGGGGCCATGCTAATCATCTCTGTATCATTCTTGTCTCTGTATCATTCCAATTTTACGGATGTCCCGGGGGGACTCTGTGATCCTTTTGGCACAATAATTTTGGTGTTTTTGGCACAACGTTTTTGAGATGCTGCCAACTTGGTACATCGGTGGGGCACAACTCTTGGTTTCTTTAGAGGGATGGGATGGATGCTCATTGGTGCATCCGGACCATACCTCACTCCTAGAAATCCCGCTGCGTGCTTCAAAAGTCTCTATGATGTTTTGTTTTTGGGAAAACTAGGGTGCTGTCACAGTTTCAGTTTGAAAATGCATTTCAGTCATGATTTCGCGAATGTTGTGTCAAACCGAGGAAAATCGTGAATGAATACAACCCAGCTTTACGGTACGGTGGGGATGTGTTGTATTCGAGGGATGCCTGAACTGGATTGAAAACTGACATCGTGACTGCGCACTAGTTACCCCTTCCCCTCCCCCCTCCCTCTTCTCTCAGCACAATTCAGGGCATACTCACAGTAGGACTTCTTCACTTATTTCTGGACGGAAGTGCGGCCAGATGCATTCAGGTGTGGCCGAAATCAGGGTGTGATACATTCTGGAAAGTGCTAGTGTGAGTATGCCCTCAGAGATGGCACACCATTTTTTATCCTATCCCTTAAACCACCAGTACCTGGCCTAGCTATCGAGTCCGAGCCTCGGCCGACCGGTCTGCGGAGCCGTGCCAAGGCTCGAACTACCGGTTCTGAGGTTCCCAGGCCTAGCCGGAGAAGAAAACGGGAAGAACCAGAGAAAAGAAAAAAAAAACAGGAAAAGGAAAAAGTGAACGATCCGAAGAAAGGATTTTATTCTTTTATAGAAAAAAGAAGATATAGAAAGAAAAAAACAAAGAAAATAACAATAATGGTTTTGTTTCTTTTGGCACGGCCGAGAGAGAGAGAGGGAGAGGACAAGGTGCAAAAATGGGAATGAATCCTCCCGCAAAGATTCATTCCTATGTTGCACCACAGAGAGAGAGAGAGAGAGAGAGAGACAGTGTCGGCGAGCTGCACGGAGGGCCGCAGAATTCTCGCCGTGTCTCTCTCTCTCCATCTCTCTCTCTCTCTCCATCTCTCTCTCTCTCTCTCTCTCTCTCTCTCTCTCTCTCTCTCTCTCTCTCTCTCTCTCT